ACTATAGATTTTTTGCAATACTTAATGATTCATGGCCAAGCCCCCTGTAACCGAGATACCCTGCCGGGGCACAGTGACCTCAGCTCGACAGCAAGTATCTACGTGGGTTGTCAGGTGCATAGTAAATTGCAGGACGAGTATTGTCCTTATGTTTTCTCAGGTGCATAGTAAATTGCAGGACGAGTAGTGTCCTTATGTTTTCTCAGGTGCATAGTAAATTGCAGGACGAGTATTGTCCTTATGTTTTCTCAGGTGCATAGTAAATTACAGGACGAGTATTGTCAAAACCGTTTATTCAGTACTGAAGAGGCCACAGGCTTGTAGTACAATTACAATATGCATATGGTAGAATATAGGCAGTGATTAAGGTGGATATTACATGACACAATTAAGACATGACAGTCTTTCTATAGTTCAAAGCATTGAATATAAATGCTGATACAGTTCGTAGACTTTGAGAATTGTTCGAACTCAGTAGGGCAATAACTTTGTGAGTGCTTGGATGTCTAATATAATAATTAGACAGATATTTGTCTCTTATTGTTGAATAAAAAGGACATATAAGAAGTAGATGATATTCGTCTTCTATGATATTCATATTACAAAGTTTAGAATATCTATTTTCCCTAAAGATATCTGTGTACCTTCCTGTTTCCACAAGGAGATCATGGGATGAACTCTTGCAATTGCTATCCTAAATTTCTTCACATTTATAACCTTGAGGTAAGTTTCAGTTTCAATAGTAGATTTTAGCTGTTTGTAATAGAAACATTTACTTGACAAATTCAGGGCGCGATGCCAATCTTGAAGAAATATGTCCTCATGTCTTGTCAGGTGCATGGCAAATTACAGGACGAGTGGTAGCGCTGGTCACATGTATGTGGCAGTGACCTAGTGATGGTAGCGCTGGTAACATGTGTGTGGCAGTGACCTAGTGGTGGTAGAGCTGGTCACATGTGTGTGGCAGTGACCTAGTGGTGGTAGAGCTGGTCACATGTGTGTGGCAGTGACCTAGTGGTGGTAGAGCTGGTCACATGTGTGTGGCAGTGACCTAGTGGTGGTAGAGCTGGTCACATGTGTGTGGCAGTGACCTAGTGGTGGTAGAGCTGGTCACATGTGTGTGGCAGTGACCTAGTGGTGGTAGAGCTGGTCACATGTGTGTGGCAGTGACCTAGGGATAGGTAGAGCTGGTCACATGTGTGTGGCAGTGACCTAGTGGTGGTAGAGTTGGTCACATGTGTGTGGCAGTGACCTAGTGATGGTTGAGTTGGTCACATGTGTGTGGCAGTGACCTAGTGATGGTAGAGCTGGTCACATGTGTGTGGCAGTGACCTAGTGGTGGTAGAGTTGGTCACATGTGTGTGGTAGTGACCTAGTGGTGGTAAAACTGGTCACATGTGAGTGGCAGTGACCTAGTGGTGGTAGAGTTGGTCACATGTGTGTGGCAGTGACCTAGTGGTGGTAGAGTTGGTCACATGTGTGTGGCAGTGACCTAGTGGTGGTAAAACTGGTCACATGTGTGTGGCAGTGACCTAGTGGTGGTAGAGCTGGTCACATGTGTGTGGCAGTGACCTAGTGGTGGTAGAGCTGGTCACATGTGTGTGGCAGTGACCTATTGATGGTAGAGCTGGTCACATGTGTGTGGCAGTGACCTAGTGATGGTAGAGTTGGTCACATGTGTGTGGCAGTGAACTAGTGATGGTAGAGCTGGTCACATGTGTGTGGCAGTGACCTAGTTATGGTAGAGCTGGTCACATGTGTGTGGCAGTGACCTAGTGATGGTAGAGTTGGTCACATGTGTGTGGCAGTGACCTAGTGATGGTAGAGCTGGTCACATGTGTGTGGCAGTGACCTAGTGGAGGTAGAGTTGGTCACATGTGTGTGGCAGTGACCTAGTAACAGTGGAGCTGGTCACATGTGTGTGGCAGTGACCTAGTGATGGTAGAGCTGGTCACATGCTCGTGACAGTGACCTAGTAACGGCAGAGAGTTGGTCACTAGTGTGTGGCAGTGTAGTTATGGTGGAGCTGGTCACATGTGTGTGGCAGTGACCTAGTAACGGTGGAGCTGGTCACATGTGTGTGGCAGTGACCTAGTGATGGTAGAGCTGGTCACATGCCCGTGACAGTGACCTAGTAACGGTACAGTTGGTCACATGTGTGTGGCAGTGACCTAGTTATGGTAGAGCTGGTCACATGTGTGTGGCAGTGACCTAGTAACGGTACAGCTGGTCACATGTGTGTGGCAGTGACCTAGTGATGGTTGAGTTGGTCACATATGTGTGGTAGTGACCTAGTGATGGTAGAGTTGGTCACATGTGTGTGGCAGTGACCTAGTAACGGTGGAGCTGGTCACATGTGTGTGGCTGCGACCTAGTAACGGTGGAGGTGGTCACATGTGTGTGGCTGCGACCAAGTGATGGTAGAGTTGGTCACATGTGTGTGGCAGTGACCTAGTGGTGGTAGAGTTGGTCACATGTGTGTGGCAGTGACCTAGTGCAGGTAGCGCTGGTCACATGTGTGTGGCTGCGACCCAGAGATGGTAGAACTGGTCACATGTTTGTGGCAGTGACCTAGTGATGGTAGAGCTGGTCACATGTGTGTGGCTGCGACCCAGCGGTGGTAGAGTTGGTCACATGTGTGTGGCAGTAACCTAGTGGTGGTAGAGTTGGTCACATGTTTGTGGCAGTGACCTAGTGGTGGTAGAGTTGGTCACATGTGTGTGGCAGTGACCTAGTGGTGGTAGAGTTGGTCACATGTGTGTGGCAGTGACTTAGTTATGGTAGAGCCGGTCACATGTGTGTGGCATTGACCTAGTGATGGTAGAGTTAGTCACATGTGTGTGCAGTTATGGTAACCTAGTGTGTAGCAGTGGTGGTAGAGTTGGTCACATGTTGGCAGTGTGGCAGTGACCTGTGGTAGTGGTGATGTAGAGTTGGTCACATGTGTGTGGCAGTGACCTAGTGGTGGTAGAGTTGGTCACATGTGTGTGGCAGTGACTTAGTTATGGTAGAGCCGGTCACATGTGTGTGGCATTGACCTAGTGATGGTAGAGTTAGTCACATGTGTGTGGCAGTGACCTAGTTATGGTAGAGTTGGTCACATGTGTGTGGCAGTGACCCAGTGGTGGTAGTGTTGGTCACATGTGTGTGGCAGTGACCTAGTGGAGGTAGAGTTGGTCACATGTGTGTGGCAGTGACCTAGTGATGGTAGAGCTAGCCACATGTGTGTGGCAGTGACCTAGTGGTGGTAGAGTTGGCCACATGTGTGTGGCAGTGACCTAGTGATGGAGTGACCTAGTGGTGGTAGAGTTGGTCACATGTGTGTGGCAGTGACCTAGTGATGGTAGAGCTGGTCACATGTGTGTGGCAGTGACCTAGTAACGGTGGAGCTTGTCACGGGTTGATGAATAAATAAAGACCTGGTTGGATGCAGGCAAGACTCCTATGTTTAATAAAGTAGTTATGTTAGTGGAACCTTGACTTTGACCTTAAACGTCACTGTAGATGTAGACAGCAAACGACTTGCCACCTTGCATTACCTATCTGCGAGGGTTATCTACTCCATTGATAAAATGTGCGTGTGTTTAGCCCAGTTTCTAGTTGTCAACTATGTCACTTGCAGGCGATGATTCATTGTAGCATGTGAATCAGTGAATCCTATGTATGGTATCATCTATTTGCCGCCCCACTCAGAGTGGTCCGCTTCAGGGCGCGTGGCAATACACAGGTATACATCGTGCAGACAAGTGCTTATATCTTCTATATGTCTCTCCGAATATTTTAGCCGCCATGTAATAGCCTCAACATGAAGAATTTCCCTCTTCATGCGTAACTATACATTGCGCTTTTATTCACAAAACATAATATATATATAAGGAGTTACAAATTCTCCCATATAAACTCATAACACAAACGAATGACCCATATGACCCTGTATTCAGCAACTTATGGCAAACATTAGCGTGGAACATTATGCGCGCCTATATTCAACAACTATTTTCACACATGAATATTCCATGAAGTACTATGTGAGCCTATATTCAACAACTATTTTCACACATGAATATTCCATGTAGTACTATGTGCGCCTATATTCACTATGTGCGCCTATATTCAACAACTATTTTCACACATGAATATTCCATGAAGTACTATGTGAGCCTATATTCAACAACTATTTTCACACATGAATATTCCATGTAGTACTATGTGAGCCTATATTCAACAACTAATTTCACACATGAATATTCCATGAAGTACTATGTGAGCCTATATTCAACAACTATTTTCACACATGAATGTTTCGTTGAACACTATGTGATTTCTGATTAATTAGATGTCAGTCAACTCCCACACAGTTGCAATACCTCTATATGACAACCAAACTGAAAGATTGTCCTCCATTAATCAGTATTATTGGAATAATGCAGTAACAGTAAGCACGTGGTATTAAAGTATTTGTAGATTTGATTGCTGAGCCTGTTGCTGTTGGGATACATGAATCTCAGATTTTCTGTAAGTCAGGTGTGGTTTTAGATGCTTTAAAATTATGATAAATCATCTTGATTTAAACCTATTTATATTTTCAATAAATGAATATGGGTTTGTGAAAAAGTTGTTATAGTTGATATTAACACTGCTCCCATACAACATATTATATAATATAAATTGTAAAGTCTGAACATGATATACCTTATCATAAAAGTTAACAATTGCGTGTTAAACAGATGCACAGAAGTATGGTGAAAACAAATTGGTGTGACGAACCTTTGTATTTTTAGATCAGATCAGATGAACACATATAATTGGTCAGTTAGAATTTGGTGTGCCCGGAGAGTTAATGGAATTGAGGAACATATTAGGTGCAGATTATTGGTGATGCGTTTTCTTATACGTCACGTGTATCAATGTTCCCATGTTTGCACGCATATTGCAGAATATTGCTATATGGCGTCCTCCATTGTGTATGTCACAAATTGAACGGCAGGTAATCATAACAATACATTGATAGCAGTTTATGTAAGGATCTCTGAAATGTGTGATACAGAGTGCAATAAAGGAATATCAAAGGCTTGAGACTTTCATTCACTCGGAACAGAGAATTTGTGTAATCAACAACAGAGACACATGCTTATCTCCGTAACTGTATTACAATCAGAAGTAATAATGCAGCATTTTACAAAATTGTTTCCTCATGCGATGTCTCCATTTTAAAAAGATTATCACTGTATATCCATCATGTATTATGTTAAGAAAACACTTGTCATCCTCCTAAATGAGAACCTTCTTTGTAACCGCTGTATATGGGCCGGTGGCCTTACATACAAATAAACATATTTTGACTTTGACTTTGACTGCCTGCAATATATATGTACTGCCACGGCCAGAGTAACCTACATAACAAACCCAGATGCCATGGGCGATGATGTGAAGGCCTTATATCTGTGTACATAGCGTGGGCAGCCTCCCACCCGGCATATAGAAACTTTAAAAATACCACCGTGGTAAAACTTCCTATTTCCCTCCATGAAGGGTGCGTCAACGGTTACAGTGCATGGCCAGGTCCCGACGGCTGCTCGCTGCGCGGCGGATGTCACTGCTGGGTGCAGGCTGGGGTACAAGAAGTCATGGCCACCGTGAACAGCTAAACACCCACTATATGTTCACCAAGCACCACGACTAATCGAGTCCCACGAAATAAATATCACTTGATAGAGTACATTCTTCACCAATATGTGCGCCAACTGCTAACATAATTACTCCTTACAGTATGGACATTCATACACATAGTTGACAACGTTATATATATACAAGTAGCGCAACATTGCCGCCTGTATGTTGTAAGTCATGCGTGCATGTGTTTCGGCTGTTACATGAATAGTTCTTGCCACTGTGTGAGACAAGCTACTTACCAGCCAATCCTGCTAAACAGGTTCTCATTGGGTACAAACAGTTCGAAAATACTGTCTAGAGAATACCGCCTGTCCCACTGTACATGACAGTCACAAAAAATTTGTGAGAAACCAGTGAAGCGGTTTTAACATGTTGTTGTCACCAAGGTAAAACCATATTTATATTAAGTCTAGAATGGGAGAGACTCTAATTGCTCTGGTAAGTTTCAGTTAACTGTGATATTCTAATCTAGAAATCTGGTTATAAATGTAATAACGAACAGGCATGATATAACTGAAACATTACCAGACGGGCGTTTTCGCTGTTTTTATAGGTTTATCATATACATACCGTAGACACTGATGCCAGTCAGGTTTGAACCCAGATCAATAGACGGTGTTCTTCGTTAGGACAGTACGTCTCACACATCAGCTAGAAGGAGGTATATATGCTCCAGTTAGGAGGTGGTATATATGTGCTTCAGTTAGAAGGAGGTATATATGCTTCAGTTAGAAGGAGGTATATATGCTTCAGTTAGGAGGAGGTATATATGCTTCAGTTAGGAGGAGGTATATATGCTTCAGTTAGAAAGGAGGTACGTATGCTTCAGTTAGAAGGGGGTATATATGCTTCAGTTAGGAGGATGTATATATCCTTCAGTTAGGAGGAGGTATATATGTTTCAGTTAGGAGGAGGTATATATGCTTCAGTTAGGAGGATGTATATATGATTCAGTTAGAATGGTGTATATATGCTTCAGTTAGGAGGAGGTATATATGCTTCGGTTACAAGGAGGTATATATGCTTCAGCTAGGGGGAGGTATATATGCTTCAGTTAGGAGGAGGTATATATGCTTCAGTTAGGAGGAGGTATATATGCTTCAGTTAGGAGGAGGTATATATGCTTCAGTTAGGAGGTATATATGCTTCAGCTAGGGGGAGGTATATATGCTTCGGTTAGGAGGAGGAATAAATGCATCAGTTAGAAGGAGGTATATATGCTTCAGTTAGGAGGAGGTATATATGCTTCAGTTAGGAGGTATATATGCTTCAGCTAGGGGGAGGTATATATGCTTCAGTTAGGAGGATGTATATATGCTTCAGTTAGGAGGAGGTATATATGCTTCAGCTAGGGGGAGGTATATATTCTTCAGTTAGGAGGAGGTATATATGCTTCAGCTAGGGGGGAGGTGTATATGCTTCAGTTAGGAGGGGGTATATATGCCTCAACTATGAGGAGGTATATATGCTTCAGCTAAAAGGAGGTATATATGCTTCAGTGAGGAGGACGTATATATGCTTCAGTTAGGAGGAGGTATATATACTTCAGGTTTGAACCCAGATCAATATACGGTGTTCTTCGTTTGGGCAGTACGTCTCACACCTCAGTTAGGATGGGATGTATGGAGGTTTATAACGTTCAGGCTTACACTATAGTTCAAGGATTGCAAACATTTTGCCAGAATTGAGAATGTCTTTTAAAATATTTTCGGGCAAAGCCCATAGCATATAATTGTTTGTGGGACTAGTAGTCGTATGTAGTTTGCCATGTGAAGTTATAGCCAGGGACGCCTGTTTCTACAACGGGTAGACAAGGCCATGCAAACACATTCGGTCGAAACATCCCATTTTAAAAATTACGCAACGTTTTTACAAACAGGTTGTAGACACTGTTTATCTACTACTAATAATAATGGGTTGTGGCTGTGTATGAATACATGTTGATGACAATCAGTCAGTCCAGTCAGTGGACCGATGTTGCCACGAAGTTGCTATTGTGTCGGTGCGCATTGACATAGACAGGGACGGGAGACGTTCCGTCATAAGCATATCGAATATAATAACACAATGAATGCCCGAGCACCTGTGTCACGTCACGTGATCTTGTCTGAGGTTAAGGCGACCTTGCCATAAAGGGAGCCGTGTGCTGAGCTCGTGGTGACAACAATCATCTACTTCACTTCAGCATTGTAAATCCGTTTACAGGTTTATCTGATTTCCCTAGACTCCAGAAGCAAAGCGTACATGGTGCCGGTATTCAGTGATGTAAGGAGTGTGTCTTTGTCGCGTACACGTGTCAACTTAGCCACTAGCTCAGACCCTTCACACAGACAGTGTTTTGCCCGTAAGGTAAAGACGAAATATCCACAATGCCTCCAAGCTGATGGGAGCCTCACCGTTATACATTCATGTGATATTTGTTATTCAAGAGAGTAACTCACGCCCTTCCACTGGGAGAGAAATATGCAACGTGCAGTTTTCCATGTCATGAAGACAAAGGGGATGTATTTATTGATATTCTTTAGAACAAAATAAATCAATACACACTGTAGAAGGTCTCCTCTCACGGCAACTAAAATTACACTTTTAGTGGTCCAAAATGACAGCAACGTCTCGACGCAGGGAAATGTAAACGGATTAAATCTAAACCTATACTTTCAAATTGTTGAGCCGTAGAGTGCTTCTAACTTGTACCAGAGTGCCAGGCTCAGAGATAGGTCTCCTTTACCACAGCACATGACGGAATGTCTGAAGGATACACAATGATATACATGACATCACACCAGCTATCTTACACCACCGTGCGCCTAATGCCAATTGCAACCCTTCTCTGCAACTGCCAAAATCTCAAAATATCAGACATAAAATCTATGAACAAAATCGAAGCCAAAGAATGATGTCTGGGGCGAGGAACCGCAGTGAATATCAAATAAAAAACCGTTCCTGACAGGCAAAAAGTTAATTATGTGGCTGCGACCCTAGGTTGGAGCTCTGTGGGGGATTTGGAAACCGCTAACGCTTGCACTTGCTATTGCTGTCTCGCCAAATATTGATCCATGGACTGCGTTTGGAGGGAGGGGCTACTGGGTCATAGACCTTTACATGATCGGAGTCGCAGACACACTGACCACACTTACATAACTTCTTTTTACGCAGACAGTGTGATTAAATGAGGTTGAAGCCTACACGGCCAGGCGAGATTCTTGGGAAGCGTCCTGCAGCACCAGTGTATGGCAGTGTACACAAAAACCTGAGGATTAACGTTACCCTGGTTGTTGAAGTGGCAGGTTCAAGGGAATAACTCTACTGTTTATCAAGGTTCTGTTCCATCTTGTATGGCCGTGCATGGTGACATGCATGAGGCCATCTTTCCCGTCCAGTATGTCAAAGCGTACAAACTGTATGTGCTAATGAAACTGACTGCGTCAGAACCTACAGGCTGTCACGCACTGCGCCAAGGTCTACAGGCTGTCACGCACTGCGTCAAGGTCTACAGCCTGTCACGCACTGCGTCAAGGTCTACAGGCTGCCACGCACTGTGTCAAGGTCTACAGCCTGTCACGCACTGCGTCAAGGTCTACAGGCTGTCACGCACTGCGTCAAGGTCTACAGGCTGTCACGCACTGCGCCAAGGTCTACAGGCTGTCACGCACTGTGTCAAGGTCTACAGGCTGCCACGCACTGTGTCAAGGTCTACAGCCTGTCACGCACTGCGTCAAGGTCTACAGCCTGTCACGCACTGCGTAACGGTCTACAGGCTGTCACGCACTGCGTCAACGTCTACAGGTTATCACTCACTACGACATGTGCATGTTGACCGTGTCAATGTCTACAGGTTGTCACGTACTGCGGCATGTGGGGATTACAAGTTAAGTAAAACTATGCTCAGCTCAGACTGGCGTAGTTCATGTCTTTCATTCTGGCCTAATGAAAACCGAGTTTATGCTTATGAAATCATTTTGAAACTTCAGGTCGACTTTAGGTGCAATTTTGGTGTTACAAATGATATGCAACCCGTGAAGATCCGGATTAGAATTGATCTTGAACAGAAACCCACGCATGTCGTAAGAGGTGACTAACGGGATCGGGTGGTCAGGTTCGCTGACTTGGTTGACACATATGTCGCAGGCACTTTGATGGGGTATGGGTTTTATCGGGAAATATAGACATGTTTGTATATTCTCTGAGTTAAGTTAAAGTTGTGTTATCTAAATCTAAATCACAGTGCTGACAATATACATGAAATATCAGCAGCTTATTATCATGACCATCAGCACAGCCATGTACAGATCAGCTGCCTGCGTGTAATTAACCCTAATGAACCTTAGAGTATGGCCGGTTGGCCACGGAAGTTTAACATTGTGGATGAGGTGCATGCTGGATACTGCAGGTTGACCATACATGTATTGTAATACGATACAGGGCAGCCTGACAGTCAGTATAGTATATAGACAATGAATTCTTAATGTAACGGGACTTTACCCTCGGACAGCGGCTAGGCAGGTGGGCTGACGATCGCCTCTGTGATGCTGCCTGGCCGTTGATGCACTATCATGTAATTGCATACTTAGCTGCCAAATAAAGTGTTGTGGACCCACTGATGGACTTCTGTATTTGAAGAGACAGATATCCCAAAAACGCTTTAACCAGCCCGGGATACATGTCATCGTATCCAATTTGCGTAGATTGATGCTCATGCTGTTGATCACTGGATTTTCTGGTCCAGACTCGATTATTTACAGACCCATATAGCTGGAATATTGCTGAGTGCGGCCTTAAACAACCAGCCAACCAACCAAAACCAACAAACGATATGCATAACGGTTATGCGGTTTGTGGTAGTCGGGACAACCAGTTGGTGTGGTCAGATGCTTCTCGGGGAATGCTAACCATACGTTCTTCTTGGGACTGATGTCGGGTGTGAAGCCCAAACTGATGTGAGGACAATTCCACTACACTCTTCCGTAAAGATCGTCACAATTAGGACCGATAACTTAACATGTTTCTATAGAAACTGTAACAACAGCTACTACTACTACTACTGCTACTACTACCACGACTACTACTCTAAACAAGCATGATAGTGTATAATTTGATGACGTTCCACTACTATCACGACTACTACTCTAAACAAGCATGATAGTGTATAATTTGATGACGTTCCAACTACTACCACTACTATCACGACTACTACTCTAAACAAGCATGATAGTGTATAATTTGATGACGTTCCAACTACTACCACTTCTATCACGACTACTTCTCTAAACAAGCATGATAGTGTATAATTTGATGACGTTCCAACTACTACCACTACCACTACTATCACGACTACTACTCTAAACAAGCATGATAGTGTATAATTTGATGACGTTCCAACTACTACCACTTCTATCACGACTACTACTCTAAACAAGCATGATAGTGTATAATTTGATGACGTTCCAACTACTACTACTTCTATCACTACTACTCTAAACAAGCATGATAGTGTATAATTTGATGACGTTCCAACTACTACCACTACCACTACTATCACGACTACTACTCTAAACAAGCATGATAGTGTATAATTTGATGACGTTCCAACTACTACCACTTCTATCACGACTACTACTCTAAACAAGCATGATAGTGTATAATTTGATGACGTTCCAACTACTACCACTACTACTACTACCACGACTACTACTCTAAACAAGCATGATAGTGTATAATTTGATGACGTTCCAACTACTACCACTACTATCACGACTACTACTCTAAACAAGCATGATAGTGTATAATTTGATGACGTTCCAACTACTACCACTACCACTTCTATCACGACTACTACTCTAAACAAGCATGATAGTGTATAATTTGATGACGTTCCAACTACTACCACTACTATCACGACTACTACTCTAAACAAGCATGATAGTGTATAATTTGATGACGTTCCAACTACTACCACTTCTATCACTACTACTCTAAACAAGCATGATAGTGTATAATTTGATGACGTTCCAACTACTACCACTACCACTACTATCACTTTACTACTACTCTAAACAAGCATGATAGTGTATAATTTGATGACGTTCCAACTACTACCACTTCTATCACTACTACTCTAAACAAGCATGATAGTGTATAATTTGATGACGTTCCAACTACTACCACTTCTATCACGACTACTACTCTAAACAAGCATGATAGTGTATAATTTGATGACGTTCCAACTACTACCACTACTACTACTACCACGACTACTACTCTAAACAAGCATGATAGTGTATAATTTGATGACGTTCCAACTACTACCACTACTACTACTACCACGACTACTACTCTAAACAAGCATGATAGTGTATAATTTGATGACGTTCCAACTACTACCACTACTACTACTACCACTCGACTACTACTCTAAACAAGCATGATAGTGTATAATTTGATGACGTTCAACTACTACCACTACTATCACGACTACTACTCTAAACAAGCATGATAGTGTATAATTTGATGACGTTCCAACTACTACCACTTCTATCACGACTACTACTCTAAACAAGCATGATAGTGTATAATTTGATGACGTTCCAACTACTACCACTACTACTACTACCACGACTACTACTCTAAACAAGCATGATAGTGTATAATTTGATGACGTTCCAACTACTACCACTACTACTACTACCACGACTACTACTCTAAACAAGCATGATAGTGTATAATTTGATGACGTTCCAACTACTACCACTACTACTACTACCACGACTACTACTCTAAACAAGCATGATAGTGTATAATTTGATGACGTTCCAACTACTACCACTACTATCACGACTACTACTCTAAACAAGCATGATAGTGTATAATTTGATGACGTTCCAACTACTACCACTTCTATCACGACTACTACTCTAAACAAGCATGATAGTGTATAATTTGATGACGTTCCAACTACTACCACTACTACTACTACCACGACTACTACTCTAAACAAGCATGATAGTGTATAATTTGATGACGTTCCAACTACTACCACTACTATCACGACTACTACTCTAAACAAGCATGATAGTGTATAATTTGATGACGTTCCAACTACTACCACTTCTATCACTACTACTCTAAACAAGCATGATAGTGTATAATTTGATGACGTTCCAACTACTACCACTTCTATCACGACTACTACTCTAAACAAGCATGATAGTGTATAATTTGATGACGTTCCAACTACTACCACTTCTATCACTACTACTCTAAACAAGCATGATAGTGTATAATTTGATGACGTTCCAACTACTACCACTTCTATCACGACTACTACTCTAAACAAGCATGATAGTGTATAATTTGATGACGTTCCAACTACTACCACTACTACTACTACCACGACTACTACTCTAAACAAGCATGATAGTGTATAATTTGATGACGTTCCAACTACTACCACTTCTATCACGACTACTACTCTAAACAAGCATGATAGTGTATAATTTGATGACGTTCCAACTACTACCACTACTATCACGACTACTACTCTAAACAAGCATGATAGTGTATAATTTGATGACGTTCCAACTATTCTGTTATCAGATATAAACAACAAATCTAAATTGATCCCAACCCTGCCTTTATTGTAATGCATGGCAATCATGACAGAGAGACACGATGCATGCATGTCTAGCCATATGCAACATAATACCAGTCTTCATTGATTATTTTAAAATTACTGCTGTAAAAAATATGTTGAATCTTCCAACCTTTATTCACAAAAATATATAACCCAACTAAATAACCAAAGCCTAAATGCAACTAATAAATATTTATGTGGTCCTCTAAACATCTAAGATTTTTTAATTTTAAACTGAACGCCTATATTGCTCTTCATTCGTGTACACTAGTCAGTCAGTAGTCTTGACGCAGGAGGTGTGGGTGGAGTTCGGCGCATTGCAGATATTATCCCCAGATTGTTCTGTGTCGCACTGTTACGGAAGCTGAGATTGCGCATGTCGTCAATCACTGCTTCCGGATTAAGTGATAACATTATTGGCCTGCTTTCATTTTAGCTTGCTGACAATTCTTTTTTCGTCAGGTCCTAACTGCTCGCCAGACGTGATCTAATGCTATGTAAATTATTCTGATGCACTTTTGTGTCGGTCTGGGACTTGCGGATTGTCAGAAATATCGTCAGGTAGGTTGTTAGCCGGGTCGTACGTCTAACGTGTAATACTACAATCAGCCAGCATGATAATACCTTCTCAACCGAGGTGAATTATGAACATTACATGAATGACAGTTCATGCATATGATCTTAAGAAGTAGAATAATCATCAGTGCATCGTTTGGAATTCTTAATATACGAATATCTAAGTTAGTATTTGTCTGTGCGTGTGTCTTTATGTACAGTGTCCTGCAATGTAAACCTACTGTCTGTACGTAGTGTCCTGCAATGTAAACCTACTGTCTGTACGTAGTGTCCTGCAATGTAAACCTACTGTCTGTACGTAGTGTCCTGCAATGTAAACCTACTGTCTGTACGTAGTGTCCTGCAATGTAAACCTACTGTCTGTACGTAGTGTCCTGCAATGTAAACCTACAGTCTGTAATGTAGTGTCCTGCAATGTAAACCTACTGTCTGTACGTAGTGTCCTGCAATGTAAACCTACTGTCTGTACGTAGTGTCCTGCAATGTAAACCTACAGTCTGTACGTAGTGTCCTGCAATGTAAACCTACTGTCTGTACATAGTGTCTTGCAATGTAAACCTACTGTCTGTATGCGTGTGTCCTGCAATGTAAACCTACTGTCTGTACGTAGTGTCCTGCAATGTAAACCTACTGTCTGTACATAGTGTCTTGCAATGTAAACCTACTGTCTGTACGTAGTGTCCTGCAATGTAAACCTACTGTCTGTACGTAGTGTCCTGCAATGTAAACCTACTGTCTGTACATAGTGTCCTGCAATGTAAACCTACTGTCTGTACGTAGTGTCCTGCAATGTAAACCTACTGTCTGTACGTAGTGTCCTGCAATGTAAACCTACTGTCTGTACATAGTGTCCTGCAATTTAAACCTACCGTCTGCACAGGGGCGTGTCACGCTTAGAAACAGCGTTAGAAAGACATATAGGTATATAGACCCTACCCTAGTACTATATAAAAGGAAAGTGTTGTAACGACGTAACCACCCCCTACTCAATCAAAGTTAGATTTCACCACGTAAACTATTTTAAAGGCCCCGTCGATGCCTACAGATCGAAAGCGAGATACTTTTCCTACAAAATGAGCTATAAATGGTCACAATCGGATCATTATTTCGAAAGTTATACGCCACGACTCACCGAAAACAGCTACCTCTACAATTCCAAGCCAAAATCATGGATCACCCAAGACAGCGAAAACTCACCTTTTAAATTTGTTTATTAATTCCAGCCACGTTGACAGCACCTATGTAGGGCTAGATTCGATCGGCAGCGGCATTCCACGGGTCTAAAAACTTATTGCAACATCTACAAATCATTTCCTCGACAGTAAGCAGGCATTTTCTCCAAAACCATCGGCAATCATACTCACTTGTCGGCCATAGATGGCCTTGACATTCAAGTGACCTGAGCTGTAAATTGGTAAGAATAATTTTAGAGGTTAAATATTTTTAAATATAATTTCCTAAAATTAATCAATATCAAATGCATTTGTACAACCTCTAAAATCATAATATAGAACAAACTTTATGGATAACAACTTCTTTTTATTCGTGAGTGCGACGTTTCGATACAGATTCTTGTACCGTTGTCAAGCACAATATAGAACAAACTTTATGGATAACAACTTCTTTTTATTCGTGAGTGCGACATTTCGATACAGATTCTTGTACAAGAACTGTATCGAACTGTATCGAAACGTCGCACTCACTTATTAGGAGAGTCGACGTTTCGATACAGTTCTTGTACAAGAATCTGTATCGAAATGTCGCACTCACGAATAAAAAGAAGTTGTTATCCATAAAGTTTGTTCTATATTGTACTTCCCAACTTCCCAATGCCACTCAAAGAACTCTAAAATTATTCTTAACAATTTACTGTTCCATACATCATCCAAAATGGAAGGAATATTGCAAAGTTCATATTTTGCGCCCATCAGCAAACAGTCAAAATCTTACGGTATATTATATTTTCCACCAATCAGATGGCCCAATTCAGTTTCTGCGGATCCATGCAGATCACTTGAATGTCAAGGCCATCTATGGCCGACAAGTGAGTATGATTGCCGATGGTTTTGGAGAAAATGCCTGCTTACTGTCGAGGAAATGATTTGTAGATGTTGCAATAAGTTTTTAGACCCGTGGAATGCCGCTGCCGATCAAATCTAGCCCTACATAGGTGCTGTCAACGTGGCTGGAATTAATAAACGAATTTAAAAGGTGAGTTTTCTCTGTCTTGGGTGATCCATGATTTTGGCTTGGAATTATAGAGGTAGCTGTTTTCGGTGAGTCGTGGCGTATAGCTTTCGAAATAACGATCCGATTATGACCATTTATAGCTCATTTTGTAGGAAAATGATCTTGCTTTCGATCTGTAGGCCTCGACGGGGCCTTTAAAATAGTTTATGTGGTGAAATCTAACTTTGATTGAGTAGGGGGTGGTTCTGTCGTTACAACCCTTTCCTTTTATACAGTACTAGGATAGGGTCTATATACCTACATGTCTTTCTAACGCTGTTTCTAAGCGTGACACGTCCCTGTGACTGTGTGTACATAGAGTCCTGCAATGTAAACCTACTCTCTACATGCAGCGTACAGCAAGATGAACCTACTAACTGTCGGCAGTGTCCAGCAAGGTAAACCTACTTACTGTCAGCAGTGTCCAGCAAGGTGAACCTACTGTCTGTCGGCAGTGTCCAGCAAGGTGAACCTACTAACTGTCGGCAGTGTCCAGCAAGGTGAACCTACTGACTGTCAGCAGTGCCCAGCAAGGTGAACCTACCATCTATCGGCAGTGTCCAGCAAGGTGAACCTACTAACTGTCGGCAGTGCCCAGCAAGGTGAACCTACTAACTGTCGGCAGTGTCCAGCAAGGTGAACCTACTAACTGTCGGCAGTGTCCAGCAAGGTGAACCTACTAACTATCGGCAGTGCCCAGCAAGGTGAACCTACTAACTATCGGCTGTGTCCAGCAAGGTGAACCTACTAACTGTCGGCATTGTCCACCAAGGTGAACATACCGTCTATCGGCAGTGTCCAGCAAGGTGAACCTACTAACTGTCGGCAGTGTCCAGCATGGTGAACCAACTGTCTGTCGGCTGTGTCCAGCATGGTGAACCTACTAACTATCGGCAGTGTCCAGCAAGGTGAACCTACTAACTATTGGCAGTGTCCAGCAAGGTGAACCTACTAACTATCTGCAGTGTCCAGCAAGGTGAACCTGCCATCTATCGGCAGTGTCCAGGAAGGTGAACCTACTAACTGTCGGCAGTGCCCAGCTAGGTGATCCTACTAACTATTGGCAGTGTCCAGCATGGTGAACCTACTGTCTGTCGGCTGTGTCCAGCAACGTGAACCTACTGTCTGTCGGCAGTGTCCAGGAAGGTGAACCTACTGTCTGTCGCCAGTGTCCAGCAACGTGAACCTACTGTCTGTCGGCTGTGTCCAGCAAGGTGAACCTACTGTCTGTCAGAAGTGTCCAGGAAGGTGAACCTACTGTCTGTTGGCAGTGTCCAGGAAGGTGAACCTACTAACTATCGGCAGTGTCCAGCAAGGTGAACCTACTAACTATCGGCAGTGTCCAGCAAGGTGAACCTTCTAACTATCGGCAGTGTCCAGCAAGGTGAACCTACCGTCTGTCGGCAGTGCCCGGGAAGGTGAAGTTACTGAGTATCAGCAGTGTCCAGCATGGTGAGACTACTGTCTGCCGGCAGTGTCCAGGAAGGTGAACCTACTGTCTTTCAGAAGTGTCCAGCATGGTGAACCTACCGTCTGTCCGCAGTGTCCAGGAAGGTAAACTTACTAACTGTCGGCAGTGTCCAGCATGGTGAACCTACTGTCTGTCAGCTGTGTCCAGCAAGGTGAACCTACTAACTATCGGCAGTGTCCAGCAAGGTGAACCTTCTAACTATCAGCAGTGTCCAGCAAGGTGAACCTACCATCTATCGGCAGTGCCCGGGAAGGTGAAGTTACTGAGTATCAGCAGTGTCCAGCATGGTGAGACTACTGTCTGCAGGCAGTGTCCAGGAAGGTGACCCTACTGTCTGTCGGCAGTGTCCAGCATGGTGAACCTACTGTCTGTTGGCTGTGTCCAGCAAGGTGAACATACCGTCTATCGGCAGTGTCCAGCAAGGTGAACCTACTAACTGTCGGCAGTGTCCAGCATGGTGAACCTACTGTCTGTCGGCATTGTCCAGCAAGGTGAACCTACTAACTATCGGCAGTGTCCAGGAAGGTGAACCTACTGTCTGTCGGCAGTGCCCAGCTAGGTGATCCTACAAACTATTGGCAGTGTCCAGCATGGTGAACCTACTGTCTGTCTGCTGTGTCCAGCAAGGTGAACCTACTGTCTGTTGGCTGTGTCCAGCAAGGTGAACCTACTGTCTGTCGGCAGTGTCCAGGAAGGTGAACCTACTAACTGTCAGCAGTGTCCAGCAACATGAACCTAGTGTCTGTCGGCTGTGTCCAGCAAGGTGAACCTACTGTCTGTCAGAAGTGTCCAGGAAGGTGAACCTAGTGTCTGTTGGCAGTTTCCAGGAAGGTGAACCTAGTTTCTGTTGGCAGTTTCCAGGAAGGTGAACCTAGTGTCTGTTGGCAGTTTCCAGCAAGGTGAACCTACTAACTATCGGCGGTGTCCAGCAACGTGAACCTACTAACTATCTGCAGTGTCCAGCATGGTGAACCTACTGACTGTTGGCACTGTCCAGCATGGTGAACCTACCGTCTGTCCGCAGTGTCCAGGAAGGTAAACTTACTAACTGTCGGCAGTGTCCAGCATGGTGAACCTACTGTCTGTCAGCTGTGTCCAGCAAGGTGAACCTACTAACTATCGGCAGTGTCCAGGAAGGTAAACTTACTAACTGTCGGCAGTGTCCAGCATGGTGAACCTACTGTCTGTCAGCTGTGTCCAGCAAGGTGAACCTACTAACTATCGGCAGTGTCCAGCAAGGTGAACCTTCTAACTATCAGCAGTGTCCAGCAAGGTGAACCTACCG